GGCTGCTATAAATGTAACATACTTGGAAAATCGATCTACCACAACTAAGATAGATGTAAGATCTCCGACCTTGGGCAATCTGGTGATGAAATCCAGTGAAACACTTTCCCAAGATCTCTTTGGAACAGGCAATGGCTCCAAAAGTCTCGCTTGTGTCAAGCGGTTTGACTTATCTTTCTGGCATACTAGGCAAGTCTTCACATACTGCACAACATCATTAGCCATTTGAGGCCAATAATAAGCACGACACTACAATGTCATGGTGCGTTCTTCACCTGGGTGGACGACCCACAAAGTATCATGGCGTTCCATCAGAAGAGTCCTTCGCAGATCGCCTCCTTTAGTAACATATAATTGGTTTCCTTTCACCTTCCAGAATCCATCTTCCATGTAAAACTAGCAAGTCTTGCCTTGTCCTACCAAATCAACCTGATACCGTGCAACAGGATCCTTGGTGAGTAGATCCTGTATCTGGTATTTTATAGGGGTGGCCACCTCGCTCCCCCTTAGGGTGGCGAGTAGGCACACTAATGCTAGATTAGCCCTTCGACTAAGCGCATCAGCAACTTGGCTGGTCTTCTCACTTAAGTACTCGGGATTGAAGTGAAATTCCGCTAGGAGTTCCTACCACCTAGCATGTCGGCCATTCAGCTTTGCCTGGGTCATGAAATGGCTACAACTGTGCTTTCTGTCTTGACCACGAACAGAGTTCCCAACAGAGTGCCTCCAAAGGCGTAAGCAATGGACGATAGGCAATAATTCTTTTTCGTGGGCGACATAGTGTCATTCTTCATCCTTCAACTTTCGGCTCTCGTACGCCACTGGATGCCCCTCTTGTAGCAAGACTCAATCTAGAGAATAGTTAGAGGCATCCGTTTATACTTTGAACAGCTTGGTCAAATCAAGGAGGGTCAAGACGAGGTTACTAGACATAGCCCTTTTCAATGCGTTGAAGACCTCCGCTCGCCTGGGACCCTAATCCCAAGGCATGGCTTTCTTTAGGAGTTTTGTAAACCGCACTACAATGAGAGAGCAATTCTTGACAAACCAGCGATAAAAATTGCATAGGACAAGGAGCGCCCTCAAGGAGTGGATATCCTTAGGCGGCGGCCAATCTATGATAGCCTGAATCTTCTGTTGGTCCATCTTGATCCGCTCTTCCTCGATGACATGTCCGAGAAAGTCAATCTGTCTTTTGGCAAAGGAGCACTTGGATAGCTTCACATATAATTCGTGCTCCTGCAGTTGAGATAGGATATTCCGCAGGTTCTCCAGGTGTTCCTCCAATGTTTTGCTATATACCACAGTGTTGTCCAAGTACACCACTACGATTCATCAATGTACTCTCAGAAGACTTGGTTCATCAGAGTGCAAAATGTGGCTGGAGCATTAGTCAAGCCGAATGGCATGACCAGGAAGTCGTACGACCCATATCTTGTCACACAGGTCGTCTTATGTTCATCTCCCTCAGCAATCCGGACTTGCTAGTAACTTGTCTTCAGGTCTATTTTTGTGAACACTATAACACCACCCAGTCTATCAAATAGGTCTGCTATTAGTGGGATAGGGTACTTGTTCTTCACAGTAATTTTGTTTAAGGCCCGATAATCCATACAAAGTCGTAAGATGGCATCATGTTTCTTTTGGAATAACACATGGGACCCATAAGGGGACTTCGAGGGTGCAATGATCCCCGTGTACAACATTTTCGTCAACTATCTCCGAAGCTCGGTGAGTTCGGGTTGTGACATTCTGTAATACGCCCGGACAGGTGGCTTCGCACCCGGCACCAACTCATCTCATGGTCCACGGTGTGCCTAGGCGGGAGTCGCTTTGGCATGTCCTCTGGCATGACGTCTTCAAACTACTTTAGCAGCTCCTTCATGAGTGCAAGAATGATACCCAAAGAGCATTCAATATCTTTAATACAGAGGGTATCCAGGAACGTAGGTTCATGTCTTTTGACTCCCTTCTTCAACTGCAAGGCCGATATGTTCTCTGCAGCCATCTTTATGGTTGTGCAAGGCTTGGCCCCGTCTGCTCCAATCATCAGTAGCATGTCTGCATATGGTATAGGAATGGTGTTGGTTTGTCTCATGAATTCCAATCCAACTATCAACTCCAAGTCATCTATGATAACCATACGCAAGTTAAATTTTCCTTCATAAGGACCAAGATTCACCGGCACCCCTTTGGCTATTCCACCCACTAGCTAAGGCGGTGAGTTGATAGCCTTGACACGACCTCTGGTCTTTCCCACAACTAGACCAAGGCGCTCTACCTGAGTTGAGGCTAAGTAGTTGTAAGTAGCACCTGTGTCTATCATCGTCCGAATGGGCTTGCCATTAACTTTTATTTCGACGAACATCAGGGTCTTCTCTTGGTTAAGAGGAGGCCTCTCATCCGCCTTCTTTTTTCCTTTCTTGCTGGTTGGGCATGGGTCCTTCTTCTTACAAATACCGGCATTGGTTCCTGCTAAGGCCTTAGAAAAAGAACATACAAGTGTGTTGAAGGCACATATTGGTTTTGTCTGGTCAGCATCATCTGTGTCGTCATCCATCCCATCATCAAATATTTGATGGGGGTTCATTTGTGCCTCTGGGCATTCATTGTTCCAATATGGCCCGCCGCAATGATGACATCCTGAAGGGGGCTTCCTCCCCCGATCGATGTTGTGAGACGCAACACTATTGCTGCCTGAGGAAGGAGTCTTAGATTTGGTTGCACTCCGATCTCCTCCACTTCTTCTAGGGCCACCATTGTTAGGTTTGCCCCCTTTATATCCTCCTTGGACATGCGGTTGAGGCCTATCCGAGCTTTCACTTTATAGTCCCCAAGGCATTCCGCTACTTGGATCACCTTGGGTAAAGTGTCTACCCTTTGTCTTTGCAGCTCTATACGGGCATAAAGTTTCAAACCTTCGAGGAATGTGAAGAGTTTGTCTTTGTCCCTCATATCCCGTATGTTCAGCATGAGCACAGAGAATTCCCGCACGTAATCTTGCACTGACTTGGTCTGACAGAGCTCCCGTAGCTTTTTCCGCGCATTGTACTCAACATTTCTAAGAAAGAACTGTAGGCGTATGACTGCCTTCAGTTCTGCCCGTGTCTCGAGAGTATCTTCACCGGCCCTGATGGCTTCATATTTCACCTGCCACCAGAGTTTAGCATCACCCTGAAGATACATGGCAACCATTCCTATATTTTTTGCTTCTTCTAACTCCCCCATGACATCGAAGTACTGTTCGATGTCGAAGATGAAGTTCTCCACTTTCTTGGCATTCCGAGCTCCATTGTATGGTTTTGGCTTAGGAACCTTCAGCTTTTGTGGCACAGGGGCGAGGTTCACAGCACCTCAAATATGGTTTCTGCCTCCTCGAAGTAGGCCTTGTAGTGCAACATTGACAACATTGAGTTGGCCTGCCAAGTTGTCTATGATTTGCTGCGTGGCAGTCACTCTGTCTGCCTCTTATGCTCTATAGGCTAAATCCTCGCTCCTCTCCTGTTATAGGACCTCAAATTTACTGAAAAATTTGGTTGCCTCTATGGCTGTCGTTTGTCGTTCTCCTTCAGAGTCGTGACTAATGTTTGCAATATCATCTTCGGCCTGCCGCATCCTGCGGTCCAAATCGTCCAACCTTTGCACTTGGTTGATTTTTAGATCAGCCACCGTATTCATGATGGGTTGTAATACGTTAACCATCTCTTCAAGGGATGCAGTGCGGTCCACATGATTCACCATGGTCAGAAATGGTGGTAATGACAATGTGTTACCCTCATCCGATGTCGAGACTAGGCTCTGATACCAACTATTACGCGGCACCTTCCTGAGATTCCTTGGAAGGGCGACGTAAAGCTAAGCAACTGATGTCTGTGCAGTTACTATCTGCCAACTGGGGTCCCTTCCGTACGTTAGAGGAGACTGTCAGTGCTGTACGGAAAAACCAATGTCAAGAGAAATTGAGAGAACATATAAGAGAATTGATAATGAAAGAAAGCTTGATTGCATTAATGAAAGCTATTACAGAAAGGCAACACGGTGTCGAGGGGGAGAGACACTAGTACAGAGAATTGTTTGCTTGTTTGAAAGTTTTATTGCTTGATCCCCCTAATAATGCTTAAAAAAATAAAACCAAAGTTACAGGAATTGACCTAACTAAGCTAGAGAGACATATTGGCAATACAGGAAGTAAAACTACTCTATATTTACAATTAAAATGACTTAGAAGGTAGAAGCAGGTCCATTGGCAGCAACCTTGACTTTAGCATCAGAGTCTGCGCGAGGCGCTGTTGGCATCTGTCTGCGACTGGGCACTGGAGAGGACTATCCGTGGGGCGACATAGGCGCAGACGCGCTTGTCACTTGGCGTGGCCAAAACCATCAGGCCGTCCATGGCTCTAAGCATTTGGAGGCTTGCCAGGACGCCATAGGGCACGTCCAAGGGGTCATGGGGCATGGCTAGAAAGCCTCCGATGACATACCGAATGCACACAAGAATGTACTTGGCTTTGGCGTTGCCCTTTTGTGCCCCTGCAAAATATATGTATATCTATGTCCCTTGTCGAAAGTGTTAGGTTCAGTTAAACTCATTGAATATAAGCTTCTTCTGCCTCTGAAAGTTGGCTATGGCTTTTGTCTCTTTGTGCACCAATAACCAAATACACACACGAATATCCTTGCGTACTCTGTTTTGCTATTCAATTTAGTGGAAATGTTTTTACCTTTTTCAATGTTAGTACCCTATTTTGTGGTGTATAACAAACAGCACATGTTTATATAGCTACATGTGATCAGATAAGAAATTACCTTTATATGGTTAATTTCAAAGAATTGAAATATGTATGGCTAAAATATAGACAAAATTATCACTACAGATCTTCTCTCTTCAGGGCGGCAAAGTCAAAGACAAATTCAGGATTTAAATTTTATAGGTATAGATTCACAATTCTACCACATCTCATTTAATTTAATGGGTTCAAAATTTATTATTTGTACATATTTAATGATTTTGTGGGTAAAAATACAAGATACGAGCAAAAACTATGAGTTCAGTTGAACCCATAGCTTCTACACTGGATGGTGAATACGCCTCTGGGCAGCGCTACATGTAATAAGGAGGAGTACAATTGAATCCTCCTCGTCGGAAAATTATACTGTGCAAATAGGATTAAAAAAAATCTTTTTGTGTAAGTAGGGAGCAACATGCTTACTGATCTTTGTCAGTCCCATAGCGGCAATGAATTTCTTTTCCTTGAAAAATCATGTCAACAACATCTGTAGAAAGACCAACCATTTCCAATGTCTTCTCCCATACTTGATAACAAGTCTCCACATTATGTGCTTCTTTACTAGGATTCGTAGGTTTACAATGGCAACCAATGAAGGCACAAACAGGCCACTCTTCTGCCTTCAACTTATCACAATATTTTAAGATATCAACATCAGTAGCAGCAAAAAGTGCACTTCTTGAACCTTGTTGAGCATCAAACATGAAAAAAAACATTTTCTGATAGAGAATATTCAAAATCCTCGGAAGATCCCTCGTTACATTTGTCCGTACAGCTCCTGGCTCTACGCATAACGTATAAATTCCAGCATCAGTTGGTATGTATTTCTGAAACATACTGCTAAACATAATTTGTGCCAACTTACTATTTGAATAAGCCTTTCGACTCAAGAACTTATTCTTCTTGGTTATAAAATTCATATCTTGGGAATCAACAAAACCAACTGTATGCAGAAGCGAATTCACATTAACAATTCTACTTGGAGCACCTCTTTTTAGTGAAGGTAAGAGTAATACAGAAAGTAATGCAGGGCCAAGATGGTTAACTTGTAGATGTGTTTCGTACCCGTCTTTAGAAATTTTCTGAGGTTGTCCTATGGAATAAATACCAGCATTATTGATTAGACCATGCAGGGGTTTTGATCTTGAATTCCATTCTTGTGCAAATTTTACGACAGATTTAAGAGAAAGGAGATCGAGTTCTAAAACATCGATGCTTAAGGGGCTCGAGTCGGGTTCATTTCTTTGCCATTTTTGGATGATTTGATGTGCAAGATTTGTGTTTCTTACAGCCATGACAAGATGTGCACCTGAATTTGCTAATTGCCTAGCAATTTCAAGTCCAATACCACTTGTAGCTCCTGTTACAATGCAAGTTTGGCCATTTAAAGGAGGTAAAGGCAAAGGGTCATGTAAATTCCTAGCATTGATTTTTTGAAATAGTGTTTCATATGTTAAACGATACCATCCTTGTATCCATTCTATCCATCCCAATCCTGTTTTTTCTTTCCTCATTAATGTGAAAGCAGCAGAAGATGGGCCCATTTTATTGAAATTATGAATTTGAGATTCAGAAATAGATAAAAATTGGATCGAAAGGAAAAATAAGGGAAGTGAAATAACAACTTATTAATTGTTGAAACAAACAATTGGGAGAAGCAAAGGACTGGCCGATATTCCGGAACAGAAAAAGATTTATTCAATGCGCTAAACAATAAAAAGCTCACATCTCTCTCTCTCTCTCTTTTTAAATAAATTGTCAACTGACCATAGTCAAGTATGAAAAAGAAAATGACAAGTCACTACACTTAGATAAATTTAGGTACGAATTAAAGAATACATATTAGTTAGCCATTGTTACGTAATGCACTTATTGATGTGGTGCAAGTAATTAAGCATTTTCCTTTAGTATATAATTAGTAATTGTTAAAGTGAATACACTTAATCGTTTGATGCATGTACCTAATGCATAAAAGTAGGGGTGTCAATGTTTCAGTTCGGCCGGTTATTTTATAAATTTGGTACCATACTAATTTTTCGGTTATTCTATTATATTTTACCAAAATTAGACTTTCCAAAATCATCCCAATCATGTCGATTTATCTTCGGTATTGGTAAGGTTCGGTTAATTTTTGGTTATTTTTTTAATATCATGTAAAAATCACTAGTAGAAGTAAAATGTAATAAATACATACTTTTATAGGACTTCGCAAAATTCTATAGACATTTTTTACTGTTTAAAGATTGATGAATTAAGAAAAAATGAAAGATAGCCAGAGTATAGACCCATCAATTATTTTATCATAATATAAAGAAACTAAGCAAAGACAAAGAAAATATAAATCGCACAAGTGGAAAAATATTAACTAAGGACTCAAGAATACAGTCTATAGAAGATCAAATATTCAAAAAGATAAATCTAAATTATACGAAAAGATTTTTTTGGTAGCCAAATTTTTTTGGTTGAAGAAGCAAGTAGAAAAATGGTAAACCTAGAAAACTTTCTAGCAATCAATAATCAACAACCAAATTCTTCTGTCTTGTTCTCTCTTTTATGTAAATTTGATTAATTAAAAAAATAGGGCTCCCCTCACCCACCTCAGCAGTGAAAGGCCGAAGGCCCCAATCAGGAAACGACGAGTATGGCGAGAGTATTTTTTGCAAATAATAATAAAAAATGTTCAATCTTTTGTGGGCTTCTTTCGGGTTTAATCGGAAATTGATATTGAGACGAGATTTTTTCATTCCTTTTTGTGAGAAGTAATTGCAATTGACAATTTAAAAGTGGTGAGTGAAGAGATTAGAAATAACAGTAATTCTCTATAAAATATAGTGAAATATGAAGAGGAAAGAATAAAATTTTCAGCTCGATCTCGCAATGCCGAATCTAATTTCTGGCCAATCTATAAGCAAAAAAACTGGAGGAAAGAAAAGAAAAAGAAAAGAAAAACAAGAGAAAAGAAAAAATAGAAAATAGTACTCCTATATTTTATAAAAATATTATAAAAATAAAATTTCAGTATTCTCTCTCTTTCTCACTCTCTCAAGGAGAGTGGCATACACTCTCTTCTGCCACATCAACACTAAGAGTATAATAATTCTATTTAAAAATAGTTCAGGAGGGTACTAGGATCCCCACAAAGATAAAGTGTGTAGTTAAAAATCTGGCTATAGGTCAGTGTCAAGACCCAATTTAGGATCGTGATCGTCGCTTAGGAGAAAGTGCCCCCAAATAAGCCTCATCGGTATTTTACAGAAAATCGGACATAGTTTCTCCTGTTTTTGGACTATCCAAAAATTTCTCTGTCTCAAATCAACAATCAAACATCCTAATATCAATCCAAACAATAATAACTTTACCAATTAACCAAAACAAATATCCACCATTAATAGTTCACCCACTAACAGCTAAGAATACTAATTTATCTCCAACTTTGATAATAAAGAGCAATACTCAACATAAGTCTATAATAACAAAAGAATATTCATGACACTAAAAGAATGACTATGGAGTGACTCTAAGAGTTCCAAAAAAGGACCAAAATAAAAAATAAAATCTCCGCCCACGCGAACAAGTGCGAGGCTCACCAAGAAATATCAACATGTGCGCTCTAATTAATAAAATCCTCGCCTGCGTCAACTGTTGTTTCTGGAAAAAAATAGCGGAGAATGAGTCGCTAGCTCTATGAGTAATAACACTTAATCACAACCGTTTTTGTTGGGGAAGATTCAGAAAACATGCTAGTCTATATATTAAACAGAAATTATCATAAGAATGCCCTTTCAGAAACAATAAACAATAATCAGTCTCATCATGTTTTTCATGTAATATATTTCAATTTGACAATTCGGTAATAAGCTCGGTAAATTCTGTGAAATATCAATATTCATACTTGGGAGGTTTCAATGAATGGATCATGTAATCGGTATAACTGTGGACTTCTTTACAAGAAGTCAAATATAAATGTACTCCCTACTCGAGGAAAATCGGTAACTGTATGCTAGTTCTACCTTCCCACTAGTGAGGGTTATGACGGTAATCGGTAATTACAAGGTGTACCAGGGCTAACGAACCCGCCATTAGCTACGGAATCCTTCAAAGCCTACTCCCATTTATACTTATCTCTGTAATCCGTATATACTCATAGAAAAATATTTTAAAATAATATAGGGTATTTTGGTTCTTATCAAATCATGTAATTTCCTTTCGATAAAAGTAAATTCAAGTAACGGTAAAACATATCTAGTGACAACAAGAATATTTAAAACAACGATATCATATCGAGTAAAAGACTTGTCCCACATGCAACTCAAAATAATCGGTAACATATTCATATTAAAAATCATGTGTAAATCATGCAAGTTATGAAAAATACAAATTGTGGTAAGATTACTACTCACAGTACTCGTGCCAAAATACCAAATGCTTCACCTCAAGCAATTCGTATAACTTCCTCCAATCAATCTATAATTACATAATATCGATCCCATGTAAATTTTTTAGGCTAATCATAACTAATTTAGAATACTTAATCCTAGGAGTTCGTGTTTGAGTCTAACTTCATCTAATCATATTTACCCATTCGATGGGTAATTCAACCAGTCAATAATCTGTTAATTCTACCTATTTATAAAATTTACTCATTATATTTTACACCAAATTAAAAACCTGTGCATTTGTCCCTCTTTATGGTATATAGATAGACTGATATGTAGTTATTAAACCAAACAAGAAAACTTAAGAATCTGTCATGAAGGCTCAAATAAGTAGTTTAAATTATACCCGAAGAAATCGAAAGTTATTCGAATTCGCAGATGTTTTCGAGTGTTGACACCGTTCCTGGCATTATAGTTCTCCAGTGCCAAGTTTTTGCACGTTTTTCTCCTTCATGAAACAAGGATAATTTCACGGCTTTTGGTTCTCTTCAATTCTTTGAACTCTCTTAATCTTCAATTATTATTTTTTTACCTTATACGCCCCTTTCTTTCTGGTGGGCTTTGACCCAACTAGTTTTCATTATTTAATTATTTGTTTATTTATCTTATTTTGTCCTTTTCAATTAAGTTCTAGCTAAAGGAGAATTATGCCCTCTTTTTAAATATGGGTTATTACATTCTCCCAACCTTATGAAATTCAGTCCTCGAATTTAATTCAAGTGCATACCTGTAGACTGAATTAACTGAGGATACTTGACTCGCATAGTATCTTCCACTTCCCACATAACTTCTTCAATTGTATGATTTCTTCATAAGGCTTTCATGAATAGTATTTCTTTTGACCGTGATTTTCTTACTTGTCTATCAACAATAATCAGCGGCTCCTCCTCATAAGACAACTTCTCATTGATCGGTATAGTAGGTGTTTCAAGCACCTGCAATGAGTCTGATATATATTTTTTTAGTATTGAGACATGAAACACTGGATGAATAAAGGACAACTCAGGAGGAAGTTTCAAACGATAAGCCACAACTCACACTCGGTCTAGTATCTCATACGGTCCTATAAACCTGAGGCTCAACTTGCCTCTTTTTGCAAACCGCATCACACCTTTCATAGGAGAGACTCGTAGGAACACTTTGTCCCCAATTGTGAACACAAAATCTCTTCTTCTCTTATCTGCATAAGACTTTTGTCTGCTTTGAGCCGTGAGCAATCTTTGCCTGATTAATTGGAACTTATCAATAGCTTCTTGTACTAAGTTAGGTCCCAATAAGTTAGTCTCACCGGCTTCAAACCATCCGATAGAAAAACGACATCTTCTACCATACAATGCTTCGTACGGTGCCATTTGAATACTGGTCTGGAAGCTATTGTTGTATGAAAATTCAACTAAAGGTAGATAAACATCCCAACTACCTCCAAACTCAATAATGCAAGCTCTCAACATATCCTCCACGATCTGCATAGTACATTCGGACTGCCCGTCTGACTATGGATGAAATGAAGTACTAAGATCTACTCGTGTACCCAGTGCTTCTTGAAAAGATTTCCAAAAGTGTGAGGTAAATTGTGATCCTTTATCAGAGATGATGGATATTGGAACTCTGTGAAGTCGGACAATTTCGTGTGCATACCTCACTCCACCATGTGTAGTCTTTACTGGCAAAAAGTGTGCTGATTTTGTCAGTCGATCTACAATTACCCACATAGAATCATAACCTCTAAGAGTACGGGGTAGACTAGTCATAAAATCCATGTTAATTCTTTCCCATTTTCACTCTAAATCTCAATTTGTTGTAGTAGTCCTACTGGTCGCTGATGCTCAGTCTTGACCTGCTGACAAGTCAAACAACTAGAAACAAAGTTAGTAACATCTTTCTTCATACCTTCCCACCAATAAAATTGCTTTAGGTCATGACACATTTTATGGATCCAGGATGTATAGTGTATCTAGAGTTGTGAGCTTCTTCAAGAATAGCCTATCTCAACCCATCTACGTTTGCTACACATAGCCTGTCACCCATTCGAAGAACACCATCACTTTCAACAATCATATCCTTGCTTTTACCAACTAAGGCCTCATCTCTGTATTTGCATAATCGCTCATCCTCATATTGGGTGGCTTTAATGCACTCAACTAATGAAGACTTAGTCTGAGCACAAGCCAACAATGCCTCTGAATTTCCGACATTAAATCTGATACTTGTATCATCTAGTATCTGAATATCTTTGGCCAAAAGTTTCTTTGTAGGAGCTATATATGCCAAACCCCCCCATAGATTTTCTGCTCAATGCATCAGCCACCACATTGGTTTTTCTAGGATGATACAAAATAGAACAGTCATAGTCTTTGAGTAGTTCCATCCATCGACGCTGCCAAAGATTCAGATCTCTATGTTGAAAGATATACTTCAGACTGTTATCGTCAGTATAATCTCACAAGTTTCGCCGTATAGGTAATACCTCCAAATTTTTGGAGCAAATACCACTGCAGCCTTCTCCAAATTATGTGTAGGATAGTTTTGCTCGTGCTTTTTCAATTATCTCAAAGCATAAGCTATAACGCAGCCATTTTGCATGAGAACACATCCTAATCCCACCTCGAGGCATCACAGAATACTGTAGAGTTTTTGAAAGTTCTGCTCACATTCCTTCGTCCACTGAAACTTTGCATTTTTCTGTGTTAGCTTAGTCAGTGGCGCTGCTATTCTAGAGAAATCCTGCGCAAAATGCTTGTAATAGCCTGCTAAGCCTAAAAAGCTGCGAATATTTGTACGAGAAGTAGGTCTAGGCCATTTCTGCACAGCTTCTGTCTTTTGGGATTTGCCATAATTCTATCTTTGGATACAACATGCCCCAGAAATGATATTGAGTCTAGCCAAAATTCACACTTTGAGAACTTAGCATAGAGCCGATGTTCTCGCAATGTCTGCAATAAAGTCCTCAAATGATTCTCGTGTTCTTTCCTACTACGAGAATATATCAGGATATCATCAATAAATACTATTACAAATATATCCAGAAACGGCTTGAACGCCTTATTCATTAAATCCATGAATGCAGTTGGAGCATTAGTCCGTCCGAAAGGCATCACAAGAAACTCATAGTGCCTGTATTGAGTTCTGAAAGCAGTCTTAGAAATATCTTCATCTTTGATTGTAAGTTTATGATAACCAGAACGGAGGTCAATCTTTGAAAAGTGGGCAGCTCATTGTAACTGATCAAACATGTCATCTATACAAGGCAAATGATATCTATTGCGTATTTTTATCTTATTTAACTGCCTGTAGTCAATGCACATTCTTAGGGATCCATTTTTTTCTTTATGTACAGTACTAGTACACCCCATGGAGATGTACTCGGTCTGATAAAACCCTTATCTAACAAATCCTACAGTTGTTGTTTTAGCTCTTTCAACTCTGCTGGTGCCATCCGATATGGGGGTATTGATATGGGCTATGTGTCAGGTGGCAAATTCAATACCAAAATCTATTTCTCGTACTAGAGGCAATCCTGGTAAATCCTCAGGAAATACATCAGAAATTCTCCCACCACTGGTACATTTTCTATACTAACTGTTTCCTTTCTTGTGTCATTTACAATAGCTAAGAGACCCAAGCGACCTTTCTTCAGAAGTCGTTGAGCTTTCATAAAAGATACAACTTTGCGAATCTTTGGAACCCAACTCCCTCTTAGAATAAATCGGGTTCATTTGATATCTCAAACTTAACTATCTTTGCATGACAATCGACGATAACATAGTAAGAAGATAACCAATCCATTCCCATCAGCATGTCAAAGTCAATCATATCAAGTACAATAAGGTCAGCTAGAGTATCTCTATCCTCAACTCGAATGTGACAAGCATGATACACGTATTCAGCTAATAAAGACTCCCCAACAGGAGTAGCAACTATAAAAGGATCATTTAATAGCTCAGGCTGTCTACTAAACCTCAAAGCAAAGTACGAGGATACATAGGAGTGAGTAGATCCCAGATCAATCAACGCAAGTGCATAAAATTAACAGACATAAAGAATACCTGTAACCACAGCATTCGAGGCCTAAGCATCCTGTCGAGTAAGTGCAAAATCTCTCGCATGAACTCTACCAACATTCCCTTGACCTTGATTCACAGTAGCACGATCTCTGGCACCTCGACCTCTATTTCCTGTACCTGCAGCACCTGGAGTATTGCGAGTAGTCTGAGTAGGTGCATCTGACTTAATAGAAGCCTAGTTGAAATTCCTCGAAGGCTGAGGGCAATCCCTCAAGTGATGTTCCAACTGGCCACATCGAAAGCACTCTCCATCCAGAAAGACACTGGCCAAAATGCGATCTACCACAGGTCTGGCAAACTGGAGTAGTGGCATATATCTGCCCAGAATTATGATATCCAGATGATGATGGTCCCTTAGTACCCTGTCTGTAATGTGGTCTGTATGTGGACTGTGAAGACAAGTGTGTCCATGTTTGAGAACCTTGTTGTTGCTATCCGAAATTTCCTGCTCCGCGATTTTTACTAAAACTACCACTAAAAGATCCTCCTGTCTTGGCCTTCTTGCGTAAATCACTGGCTACACGCTCATCACATCCCTTATTTTCAAACTTTCTAGCGAGATCGACTGCATCAGAGTAGTACAATGTCTTCATCTATGGGGATATTGCAGTGTATAGACGACCAACCAATCCATTAACAAACCTCTGAACTCGAGCTTCTTGGGTAGGCACTAAATAAGGAGCATATCTTGTCAGATTACAAAACTTGGTGTTATATGTTGACACATCCATATCTGGAGTCTGAACCAATCTCTCAAAATCTCTAGCATATTTTTGACTCAGGTGTAATAACCCATAATTTTATATGAGGATATATTGAATATTTAGCAAATATTTTAAGTAAAAAAAGGAGGAACAAACTAATAAAATAAAATGAATTTTAAAAAAAGGGAATGGACACAAAAGGGCCGAAGCCCATTAGGTTACATTCTGCCAAAGTCAAAAGCAAAAAGGGATTGAGGGAAGGGAAAGAAGCTGCGGAAAAGAAGAAAAAAAAAAGAAGAGAAAAGGCTAGCAACCTCATGCTACAATATTGTTGTTGTTCCTAGCTACTGTTATTTCAGATTTTCAGGTATATTTTATTATCCCATTGACATGGATATATTTAATTTATCATGGGTTGAGTTAAATAGTGAGTTGATCTTTAATTGAATTGGATACAAGAATACTTATGAGCAAGATCAATTCCTTCATTCTAAGTAATTACACAATATCATGTTATATACTCTATTGAGGAGATTGTGAGTACTTGTAAAACACTACGTGAAATCGAACAAAAATGTTAATTTTCCAAGCAATACAAACTTCTTTTTGCCAAGGAAAATATAAACTAGTTTCCTATCCCTTTAAGTACTACTTAAGTGAATAACAGATAAACATATTCATATTCTAGAGAAATTAAACAGAAAAACTAATTAAAAGTGACATGGTTGGACCAATTACGTTGCTAGTTCCCGAAGTTGATATAAAGTTCAATAATTGGCACGAGTACTGTGAATAGTAATCTTACCACAATTTGTGTTTTCATAACCTGCATGGTTTATATATGATTTTAAAAATAAATGTATTACCGATGCTTTGAAATTGCATGTGGGACAAGTTCTTTACTTGATATGATACTGAATAGTTTATTTGAGATGTTTATAGATTAATCTAAATATTTTTAACGTTACTAGATATGTTTTACCGTTACTTGAGATGTTACAGTTATTTGAAGTATTCTCACTATTACTAGATATGTTTTACTGTTACTTGAGATATGGTTACTGTTATTGAAATAAAATTACAAGATTTGATAAGGAGTGATATGCCCTTTATTATTTTGAAAATGCTTTTGTACGAGTAATTACTATTTACAAGAAAGAGTATAAATGGGAGGAGACTTTGAAGGATCCCGTAGCTAATAGCGGGTTCGTTAGACCTGGTGCACCTTGTATTTACAGATTTACCAATTACCGATTACAGTTATAGCCCTCGCTACTAGGAAGGTAGAACTAGCATACAGTTATAGTTTTCCCTCGAGTAGGGGCCTATAGTTATACTTGACTCCTTTTACGAAGGGGTCCACACAGTGATACATATTACATGATCTTTTTATGGTAACCTCCCAAATATTAAAATTTGCTATGACACAGTATTTACCAAGTTTATTACTGAATTGTTAAATTGATTTTTATTACAGGAAACACATGATGAGATTGATTATTATTACCGTTTTAAAAAGGGCATTTTATTTTGTGATTATTATACAAGCTTGTTTTCTGACTTGTCCCCTATTAAAAATAGTTGTGATTAAATATTATTACTCATTGAGCTAGCGACTCACTTCCCGCTGTTATTTTTACAGAGACAGGAATAGACACATGTAAGGATTCCGTTAATTAGAGTATACGAGTTGGCAGTTCCTGGTGAGTCTTGCACTTATTCGCGTGGGCAAAGATTGTTATTTATTTGTTATAGTCTCTTTCTTGAAACTCTTAGAGTCGCTCCATAGTCATTTTTATGAGTATCATAAGTAGTCTTTTGTTGATATAGACTTGTGATTCGTATTAGACTTTCCTATCGTATACTTGGAGATGAAGTTAGTATTATTGTGTTGGAAATATTTCGTGAATGAAGATTATAGCTTGTTTGGTCGATATAGGTTGTTTGTGTTGTTGATTTTGAAGACAGGTTTATTTTTTGATAGGCCCTAAACAGGGAAAACTCTGTCCGATTTTCTGTAAATTATCGATGATGCTTGGGAGCACTTGCTCCTAAGCGCCGATCATGATCCTAAATTGGGTCGTGATATTAGGCTGTCTGGAAGGAAATGATCCATGAACAACTTACTGAACTCGTCCCATGTCAGTTGTGCTGCTCTTGCTGGCCTTCCTAGCAATACAGTTTCATACCATGTGTTGGCCATATCCTCTAGTTTGTATGTTGCAAGCTCAACGACTCTCTCATTAGAACATCCTAGAGCACATAATGCCTTGAGTGTCTCATCCAAGAAACTTTGAGAATCTGCTGAATTATCAGAACTTGTGAATTTTGGTGATTTCAAATTCAGAACGGAAAAGGGTCAAAACTACCTCTATCATTTACTAAATGGTTTACAATTGCCCTCTGTCCACCTATTTGTCCAAAAAAGTATACGACGTTAATTCTATTAACAAAATTACCCCCGCGACTAACGCCATAACCTGTGGGCCTTCTATTTAATGAGGTGAAATATTTTTATTGGGCCACGTGGCATTTTAGGTGGGACAACACATATATATGTTTAGTACCCGTCCCATAAACCGAACATGTCCTAATTTTTTTACAATCCGGGTTAAAAAAACCTTTTCGGCTTCTTCTTTCTCCTCTATTTCATCATTCCATGGCTTCTATGTTCTATCCCTTTTCTTCACTGGCATCATTTCTTCTTTTCCACTTCCAAGATCCTCATGAACAGATTGTAGTACAAAAGATGAGGGCATAAAGCACTGAAATTATAAATTTTATTTGATACTTGAAGAGCTTTGAGTTATACAAGTAGATATATGGACTAAATTGATACATGATTTGTGTCTAAAAAAATCAATCAGATGTCGTTCTTCTACCATTTCTGAAACATTATGTCTTCAACAGCAGCCCAAATCTCCTGTAAATGATGACCAAAGTGTTTATTTAGTTCCTTAACAATGAAATCCCGCATCCATGTTTTGACCCATTCGTCATGCAACAATGAATGCTCTGATTTTTCTTTCCCAAATTGATTTTTAGATTTAGGTATTATCCAATTCAGTTGATCCCGAATTTGAGCCCATCAGATAATGAAAATGTTGAAACAATTGATGCTAGCTTTTTTAGTTTTACTCAGATTTGTTTTTGGACAAGAGCATCACGTGGTCCTGTAAAAAGATTCCAACACATTATTTAATGGTTCAACTGGTCTGCCATTAAACGTAAAGGTATTTTAATTAATAAAATTAACATAGTATGTACTTTTGGACTAATAGATGGACGGAATGTATATTTTTAGACAAATAGGTGGACGGAGGGCAATTGTAAACCATTTAGTAAATGATAGGGGCAGTTTAGGCCCTTTTCCGATTTCAGAAACTCTTGTTGAGATACCTTATTCCCGAAAGTCTGAGTATGTGCAGGTGCTTGTGTCTAAAAAGTAGCCTGAGAAGCTGAACTTCCACCCTGAGTAGGCACTAATGCCTCTGACATTCAATAACCTTGTCACTGTGTCTGCAGGTAAGTTAATAATAGGTACAACAGTTGGCACTGATGATGGAGCGTCCTGAACTCTCTATTCTTGCAAATGATCCGGCATAACAGCTTGGGGTTGATCCATGTTCCCAACTTCAGGTTGAGGAGCAACCTCTCTTCTAGTTTGATGAACCCTAACTTGACTGCCACCTCGTGTAGTACCACGTCCAGTAGATGAGGATGTGCGCGTCCTCTCCATATGTGAAAGAAATACTCTAAAGTCAATCTCAAGTTATTTCAAAGCACGATCAAAGAATGAAAGAAGGAAAAACATTCCTAGATGTCCAGTAGCCTCAAGATCATAAGTATGTGCGCCTACATACCAATGAATATGTCTCTACTAAATATTGCTCCATGACTCGGGACTTAAAGCCTAAGCTATGATACCAACTTTGTCACGACCCAATTTAAGATCATGACCGACGCTTAGGAGCAAGTGCCCCCAAGTAAGCCTTATCGGTATTTTATAGAATATCGGACAGAGTTTTCCATGTTTTTGGACAATCCAAAAATTTCTCAGTCTGAAATCAACAACCAAACATCCTAATGTCAATCGAAATGACAATCTCTTTACCAATTAACCAAAACAAATATCTACTATTAATAGTCCACCCACTAACAACTAAGAATACTAATTTATCTCCAACTTTGATAATAAAGAGCGATATTCAATATAAGTCTATAATAATAAAAGAATATTCATGATACTAAAAGAATGACTATGGAGCGACTCTAAGAGTTCCTAAAAAGACCAAAATAATAAATAAAATCTCCGCCCACGCGAACAAGTGCGAGGCTCACCAAGAAATATCAACATGTGCTCTCTAATTAATGAAATCCTTGCCTGTGTCAACTGCTGTTTCTGGAAAAAAAATAGCAGGGAATGAGTTTCTAGCTCAGTGAATAATAACACTTAACCACAATTGGGGACAAGTCAGAAAACATGCTAGTATACATATTAAATAGAAAATATCATGAGAATGCCCTTTCAGAAACAATAAGCAATAATCAGTCTCATCATGTTTAATATAATTCAATTGACAATTCGGTAATAATCTCGGTAAATACTGTGTAATATCAATATTCATGCTTGGGAGGTTTCAATAAATGGATCATGTAATCGGTATAACTGTGGAGTGTGGACTTCTTCGCAAGAAGCCAAATATAACGATAGTCCCTATTTGAGGGAAATCGATAACGGTATGCTAGTTCTACCTTTCCATTAGCGAGGGCTATAACGGTAATATAAATTACAAGATGCGCCAGGTCTAATGAACCTGCCATTAGCTACGAGATCCTTCAAAGTCTAATCCTATTTATACTTGTCTCTGTAATCCGTATATACTCATAGAAAAATATTTTAAAACAATATAGGGCATTTGGGTTCTTATCAAATCATGTAATTTCTTTTTGATAACAGTAAATTCAAGTAATGGTAAAACATATCTAGTGACAACAAGAATATTTAAAACAACGATAATCATTTCAAATTACTATTTCGGTATCATATCGAGTAAAAGACTTCTCCCACATGCAACTCAAAATAATCGGTAACATATTCATATTAAAAATCATATGTAAATCATGCAAGTTATGAAAAACACAAATTGCGATAAGATTATTACTCACAGTACTCGTGCCAATATACCAAATGCTTCACCTCGAGCAATTCATACAACTTCCTCCAATCAATCTATAATTACATAATATTGATCCCATGTTAAATATTTTTAGGCTAATCATAACTAATTTAGAATGAATAACCCTCGGGGTTCATGTTTGAGTCTAACTTCATCTGATCATATTTAACCATGCGATGGGTAATTCAACCAGTCGATAATCTGTCAATTCTACCTATTTAAAAAATTTACTCATAATATTTTACACCAAATTAAAAACCTGTGCTTTTGACCCTCTTTGTGATTTATAGATAGACTAATAAGTAGTTATTAAACTGAATAAGAAAACTTAAGAATCTGTCATGAAGGCTTAAATAAAGAGTTTAAATAATACCCGAAGAAGTTGAAAGTTATTCGAATTCGTAGATGTTGCCGAGTGTTGATACCGTTCATGGCTTTACAATTCTGCAGTGTCAAGTTTTTGCACGTTTTTCTCCTTCGTGAAACAGGGATAATTTCACGGCATTTGGTTCTCTTCAATTCTTTGAACTCTCTTAATCTTCAATTGTTATTTTGACCTCAATTCCAAAGACCCTAATCTTTGGTGTGCTGAAATACTCCCCTTTCTTTCTGGTGGGCTTTGACCTAACTAGTTTTTATTATTTATTTATTTATATTATTTTCTTCTTTTATCTTTTTCAATTAAGTTCTAGCTAAAAGACAATTATGCCCTCTTTTTAAATACGGGTTATTGCAGTCAGGGGGTACTTATGCATTTTTCCTTTTTATAAAATAAAAAATCTTCCAAAATTATCGGTGTGGTTATAGATTTATTAAGAAACTGCGATTTTATTAAAACAAAACTAAAAATCGCTTGGATACGGTATGGTTCGGTTGGTTTAGTCGGTTTTTAAATATGCATTGATACCTGTATTGGGGAAAATCAAGTTATTACATTGAGTTAATTATGTGTTGATGTGTCATGACACGTGGATCAACAAAAGAATGACAGTTGGCGAAGAATAGTTGAAGAGGCGTGAGCTTTAACAGGCACAGACAAAGATCCAAGAAAACCAGAGGAATGGGTGCTCGAACCTCTTGATAATTTGAAGAAGCATCGGGAGAATGAACCTAAATAGTAAAAGAGTATAGATACGTATTATTGGTAATTAATGAGCATTAATTATGGAATACATTATAGAATCTGTACCGAAACAGTTACGATTGTCAATTATAATGTTACATTGAATGTCATTAATTGTCCATAATAACTCCATTATGGAAGGAGAGAAACGTATTACTTAGAAATAGCTATAAAAGGTGAGGAATGAACATTTGTAAGGACACAAAATACTATTGGAATATACTGATTTACTTTGCTTTTTATCTAGCTATTATTTACATCAATTATTCTTATTTCTATTTGATTATCAGTAACCCGAGTTCTTCTAAAAATAAGCTTTGACCAAAAATCTTATTTTTGGCTAAACAAATTGGTTCCGTTACCGGGAACTCTGATAATCATCTGCTTTCCAAATCGGCTCTTTTATCAAAAATAATCATGTCGAATGTCAACGACAATAACCAACACAATTTACCACTCCAAGAATATCCACAGCATCAACTGAATGAACAAGATGACAGAACCCCACCTCCTTCTCCACAACATTCTCAGCGGCAGTCATGAGAGGGGACTCCTAACAAATCTGAACCGAATGAAAATGACAGACTTGCAAATGATCAAGCTATCGATGAAGCTCTTACAAAATTAATTGCTCAACAGGTCAACAACGCTCTCCAGGCTTTTACCATCCAGTTGCCGGTTGCACCGCCAACACCAACTCCAAATAAGAACACTTTGGAAAACCCTCGTTTTGGACTCGTTAATTTAGACAGTGGTGGAACTCCCAGCGAGTCTCGTGATGGAGAACCAGGTAACACAGTTAATTCTAATTTACAAAATTTAGTATTAACTTTGCAGAAATAGCTCAAGGAGCAAAGCGACTGCATAGAGCAAATACATGGAGTACCTCCTGTAATCAAGGGAATATATATGGACAAATATTCACAACAACCTTGGAAGCCAAGTGCTGCTCCTCTACCAATTCTGAAGAAATTCAAGATGCCCGATATTCCAAAATACGATGGAACAACCAATCCACGAGACCACATAACTGCATTCACAACCGGTGAAAAGGGCAACGACTTGACCAAACAAGAAATTGAATCAGTATTGGTCAAAAAATTCGGAGAAACACTTACTAAGGGAGCATTAACATGGTACTCTCTTTTACCCGAAAATTCTATAGATACTTTTGCTGAGCTTGCAGATTCATTTATCAAAGCACACTCGGGAGCTCAAAAAGTCGAAAAAAGAATGGAGGATATTTTCAAAATAAAGCAAGGAGATTCAAAGCTGCTCAGAGAATTCGTAGACAGATTCCAGCGTGAGAGGATGATGTTGCCGCACGTACCTGATAACCGGGCGGCTATGGCATTTGCCAGTAATCTAAATGAGAAAAGTTCAGAAGCCACGAGACGACTCAAGGAAAGTCTACGTGAATTTCCAGCAACAATTTGGAATGATATTTACAACAGATACATCATGAAGCTGCGGATAGAAGAAGATACCATCACTTAGTCTCGAAAAGAGGAGAGGGTAAGTTCTAGACGTGCCGAAACTGAAAAAGGTCTGGTAAAAACAGGTACGACCCCTACATGGGACTAGCGGGAAGAGATTCGCGTTCAAAGCAGGATAACTCAAGGTACGATCATAAATCAAGAGATAGAGAGTCAGGTTCATCATCAAGGTTCGGAAAAGAGCGAAATGCACGAGAGATGCGAGATGATGATAGAGGCTCGAAGGCAAAAATTGGCGGTTACAATTTTAATGTTAGCACATCAGATTTAGTAGCAGTATTAAGAAGCATATGAGATAAGGTACGATGGCCAAAGTAAATGAGATCAAACCCGAATAAGCAAAATCTTGATTTTTTGTACGAGTTTCATAACGATCATGGTCACAAAATGGCGGATTGCAGATTGCTGCAAGGTGAAGTTGAACATTTGTTAAAGCAAGGGTAAACCGAATTGTTCAGTGATAAGGGTAAGCAAGCGTATATGAAAAACAGGCAGGAGCCCCCTAAACCCCCTTTACCAAAGAGGACAGTTAATGTCATAAGCTGAGGAGAATAAATTAATGGCGTAACATATATGATAGCCAAAAAGGTTTTGAAAATTACAGTCACACACGGGAAGCGAGTTCGATAAGATTTGGAAGAGGAAAGTATTATATTTGATGATGCAGATGCGGACAGTGTGCTAACCCCGCACAATGATGCACTGGTAATATCTTTACTTGTACATGACACTAATATGAAATGAGTTTTGATTGATCCAGGTAGCTCCGTGAATATCATTCTGATAAGAGTGGTAAACGAAATGCAAGCTGAAGATAAGCTAATACCCAAGGCACACACCTTATCTGGTTTTGACAACTCGAGCATCGTAACAAAAAGAGAGATAATACTCATCACATTCGCAGAAAGAGTTGTCAAAGACATGAAATTTCAGGTGGTAGAGATGGACATGGCTAGGGGTGGCAAAATGATTAAAAAAAATAATTAACCACCCATATTATCCACTAAAAAATGGGTTGGATAATGAACTTTTTAAAAATGGGTCAAATATGGATAAGAACCATATTATCCATTTAGAAAATGGATAACCAATGAGTAACCAATGGATAACCAATGAGTCTAACTATTACATTTGTAAAGTCTCAAATTGGAGGTTCCTCAAGTTAGAGAGACTAAGAATTCTCCCAAAAGTGATCATATACAAGAAGTCATGGATAATATGGGAAACTCATATTATCTGTCGGTTAACCCGTTTTTTATCCGTATTAAATATGGGTCGGGTCGGATAATTGATCCATTTTTTCATTACCCGTTTTCGACCTGAACCATATCCGACCCGACCGCCCGTTTGCCACTCCTAGACATGGCTTACAATATGATTCTCGGTAGACCATGGATTCACGAAATAGATGTTGTTCCATCTACCCTGCATCAAGTTATTAAATTCCTTTCACAATGGGGAATACGACAAATTTGTGGTGACCAACAAACGTCTAGGAGCATTAATTCCGTAGCAGATTCAAGTGCAAAAAATGAAGAGAAATAGCAATCACAGAATCCAATTAAGGATGATGCAACACAAGCCTCAACTGAGCACGTGCGAACAAATGTAGACTCGAGACCCGATACCATCCAAGAGCCAGAGGAAAATGAAAACATCAAAACAACGATTGAGGAATTGGAAGTTGTAGTACTATTTTCACCCTGGCTTGAAAGGAAAGTCTACATTGGGGCCAACCTAAGCCAAGAAATAAAAGGTAAGTTGACTGAATTTTTGAGAACTAACGTGGATTGTTTTGCCTGGTCCTATTTTGATATGACAGGAATATCTCCGGAAGTGATAACCCACAAGTTAAATGAAGATCCATCATACTCACCTATTAAACAAAAGAAAATAAAGCAAGGATCTTTTAAAAATCAGGTGATTCAAGATGAGGTACAAAAACTTTTAAAAATTGGGTCCATACGCGAGGTAAAATATCCAAATTGGTTAGCTAATACTGTAGTAGTACCTAAAAAGAATGGTAAGTGGCGATTTTGTGTAGATTATACTGGTCTAAACAAAGTTTGTCCTAAAGATTCTTTTCCATTACCGTATATAGATTAACTAATTGATGCCACTGCAGGACATCAATTGTTAAGTTTTTTAGATGCATATTCAGGGTATAATAAAATAAAAATGGATCCCATAGATGAGGAAAAAACATTATTTATAACAGACATGGAGACTTACTGTTACAAAGTAATGCCATTTGGTCTCAAGAACGCTGGAGCCACATATCAAAGGTTGGTGACCAAAATATTTCAAGAACATTTAGGGAAAACCATGGAGGTCTATATTGATGATATGATGGTCAAGTCACAATAAGCAGGGGATCATATCCAACACTTGTCTGATACATTTCAAATTCTTTATAAATTTAATATAGAGTTAAACCCTTAGAAATGTGCATTTGGAGTTTCTTCAGGTAAGTTCTTGGGATTTTTTGTTTCTAACCATGGCATTGAAGTAAATCCCCCCCAGATTAAAGTTATTGAGGAAATCCCAGATACACTGACAAGTAAAAAAGAAGTATAGAGACTGACAGGGAGAAATACACTGACAAGTAAAAAAGAAGTATAGAGACTGACAAAGAGAATAGCAGCTTTGGGAAGATTTATTTCAAAATCATCAGAAAAATGCTTCAGGTTCTTTTCAGCGCTAAAAAAGCAGGATCAATTTGAATGGTCTAAAGAATGTCAACAGGCGCTTAAAAATTTGAAAGTATATTTGTCAAATCCATCGTTGCTTGCGAAACCAAAAGATGGGGAGAAACTACTCATCTACCTTGTTGTTTCAGAAGTAGTGGTAAGTGCTGTGTTAGTTTGAGAAGACCAAGGTAAACAGTCTCCGATTTATTATGTTAGCAAGTCATTATTAGATGCTGAAACTCGGTATCCTTGTTTAGAAAAACTTGCACTAGCATTAATCATGACATCTAGGAAGTTAAGACCTTATTTTCAATATTATCCCATCTTTGTAGTAACCGCCTAACCCTTGTGTAATATATTGCATAAACAAGAGTTATCAGGTAGATTAGCCAAGTGGGCCATAAAACTAAGTGAATATGACATTACAAATCAATCTAGAACTGCAATAAAGTCACAGGTTTTAGCAGATTTCGTGGCCGATTTTAGTCAAGGGATGCAACTAGAAGCAGAAAAAGAACTGCAGGTATTTAACGGGTCTAATCCAGGAACTTGGACCTTATTCACTAATGGTTCATCGAATGTGAAAGGGGCAGGTTTAGGAATTGTTTTAGTACCACCCACGGGAGAAACAATACGATAAGCCATAAAATATCACCCTATAACTAACAATGAGGCAGAATATGAATATGTGAATAGCAGGTTTAGAACTGGCACGAGAACTTGGTATAGAACAGGTTGTAATCAAAAGCGATTCACAGCTCGTAGTTAACCAAATGTTGGGGACTTAT